CTTGCTCTGCTGTATTAACCACAAGAAGCCAGGAAAGGAAAACAGACTCAAACTGCCAGAACCAGTCATCTCTTTGAGAGGTGGAACCAGCAGTTCAAAGCAGTGGCTACATCAAGTCTTCCCAGTGTTAATGGACATTTTCTGTATAATATTTTTGTTCACTTTTGTAAAGAATCAAGAGGCAACCACAAGAAAATAAAACCCATGCTGATCAAGTAAATCTTACAAAGAAAAGAGTGATTAGCTTTGTGGGCAGATCTACTGGCTATTGAAGGAATTATTCCCAAGTGTGAGCAAAGCTCAGGGGACTAAGCAAACCTCAGTCTCTAAGAAAGGCAGAATAGAATAATGGTGAGCACACAGACTGAAGCACAGGCAGCTTGATTTGGAATCTCCACTCTACAGCGGGGTTCTGTTTGACAGTAGAGAAGTTACTGCACTGCTTTGCTGAGAGTATAAAAGAAGAGGAAATTTCAGCTGCTTATAGTAGCATTCAATTAAAATTAGGTGTTAATGCTATTATTATTAATATTTATTGTTTAACCATGTACTTCCTGGGCTACCAATATTTGTTCTCTAAATTGCAAGCAATCATTACTAAGAAGAGTTAGTAAAAATCAAAAACTGGGTGAATATATTCTTTAAAATGTATCCAGTCTCCCAAATTCTTTGACATTCTATTTTTCTGCTCATGCCAAATGCCCAGTACTTCTTACTTACTTTAAAAACCCCCAATCTGCCCTGGTTGGCATAGCTCAGTGGATTGAGCGTGGGCTGCAAACCAAAGCATTGCAGGTTCGATTCCCACTCAGGGTACATGCCTGGGTTGCAAGCCATGACCCCCAGCAACCGCACATTGATGTTTCTCTCTCTCTCTCTCTCTCTCTCTCTCTCTCTCTCTTTCTCCCTCCCTTCCCTCTCTAAAAATAAATAAATAAAATCTTAGGAAAAAAAACAATCTCACTATGAGTAAACAGAAAAATGAGAGTGGTAATGTTCCTCCTGGAAACTAGGAATAAAAATAACAACCATAAATTAAGCCCTCTTTTCTTCAGCTACTGAGCTAGTAGCTTACATGCTATCTCATTTAACCTCCATTTCCCTACCCCAAATACAAATTTCCCTCCTGTTTGCCCAAGTCTTAAAATTCTGCTTTCTGGTATATACCAAAGGATAAGTTAGTCCCCATTATTTTATTTAACAAACAGCTTATTAACAAGTATATTGACTCAAATATTTATATATACACATGTTACATTGATAACTAATGTTATTATTTGTAGCTGGCAAATGTAAGACCCATCTCTTATAACAAAGTATTTGATATAGTTTTAAATAAATGTTCACTTAATTAAATTTAACATACTAAACTAATGTTAGGTTTTAGGGCTATGAAGATACATTTTATAACTTTTATGTTTTAGAGATAACTTTATACTTTATTTAAATATAATGAATGATATTTTATGGGGTTTTTTGGGGTTTTTTGTTTGTAAATGACACTCTTTATACTGCAGAGGTCAGCAAATTCTTTTCTGTATAAAATCAGTAAATATTTAGAATACTTGTGGTAGCTAAATATTATTGTCTCTTTCTTTTTTGTTACCTTATTTCATTTAATTTGTTCATATTTTGCTAACAAACATTTAAAAATGTAAAAACTATTCTTAGTTTAACAGCAATAGTTTGTCAACCTGTGTGTGCTATCCTGTCCACATTCTTTTCTTTTTAAAAATATCCACACTGACATTATTTCAAGTAGCTTATTGTTTCCACTGCTACTCATTTTCAGGAATAAGTTCATGTTTCAGTAAAACAGAGAAGTGGTAGCAAAAATAGAGCCTGGGCAGAAAGACATTTTTAAATCAAGGAACACTTGCCAGCAACTACTTCCCCCCAACCCCAATCCTTGAACCCCAAAGGAGCAGACTTGCGCAAGGAGAGTCACACTCTACTCCCACTTGTGTGTTTGCTTCCCTTTTGCAAAGCTTGGTCGAATTTTCCTTTGGGACGATCTCACCAGCAATAACTGAATAGATCATTAGTTTCAAAAGTTGTTCATAACTAAGATTTGTTCTTCACAGTTAGGCATAAGCTGACTGTTGATAACTGGATATTTCAACTACTTGTAGCAGTGTGAAAAAATGAAATATTTCATATTGAAAAAAACATGTTAAAAACAATGTCAAGGTCTTGAGAACAATGCCCATCTTTGGAGAGATAAAGGTAGATCTCAAATTCAGGGGGCGGGGCAAAGATGGAGAAAGCCGTTGGGATTAAATCATTTTAAGGATTTCAGTATTTGGGAAATTGGCTACATATCCATTGATGTGCTGGTACAAGTTTAACAAGAGGCTCTGTAGAGGGAGATATTTATTTGTTGTGTTTGTCCATTACTGTGGTATTAGCATATCCTCCATGGCAGATTTTAAGCTAATAAGAATACATAATTGAACATGGAGTTGGGGAGAGATCCACACAACAGGCTCTCATGATCTCAGGGCACAGTCTGGCTCCAGCACCCCATTCTAACAGGCTTCCCTGCAGTGTCAGAGTGACATAGAAAAATTCTGGAAAAAAATCCAATGCTAACTATAATCAGCATAAGAAGTTTGAAAAAGAAGAGTTCTGGGTAACATCTTCCTCTATTGACCACCATCAATACAGTGGCCAGGCAAAACAGCCTTAATACACTGAGAAAGGTCACAGCCCCCTAAACAACTTGTACATAAAATATGAAGATAATAATTAAAGAGGAAGGGAGGGGAAAGGGAGAAACAAGGACTGTTGTCTGGGAAGAAACCATTTTGATCTCAGTCAGAATTGATTATTTTGAAGTCAGTCTGCTTTCTCTTCAAAAACTATTTCTCCACAAATTCTGTCTTTCTAAATTGAGCAGTGAGTCAGCAGTAGGTACTATTGTACTATGTGTGAAAATGTGGAGGATGCAACTAGGAAGACCTCTAATGCATTCTGTTATTAATAGTCTCTGGGCTAATGATTTGATGGAAACTTTTTGCGTTTTAGGTCACTGGTTTAAATTCAATTTCAGGTGATCCTGGGCAAAAGCAGATGGCTGGTGGCCTAAGGAAAATGCCTTGATGGTGCCACCCGAGTTCTTCCTAATAGACTGCCACTGCAATTGGCACCCTTTCTTTTGCATCTGCAAGAAGCATGAAGGGTGAATAGGAATGTAATTTCAACCATTTTCTCAGCTTTTGTACAAGAGAAATTTGAGATGTGAAAAAGGTCAACTCCTTTCATTTTTAACTCTCATGTAGAATTATTCTCCTATAATATCATTCCAAAATCTCTCTGGGATATTTTAAATGAAACCTGAGCCATCTCACCAGTAAAATTGTATCTTACATTATAGAAAATAAATTACATATAGGCACATTCTTGAGGAATATTTAAGTGTAAAACATTGAAAATTTCTTGGCCTAATTTTAACAAATTTAATGTTTATTTTTCTTTATTTCTTGTTTAAATAAATAAGTTCTCATGTATGTAAATGAAAGAATTTCATTAAATGCACTCATCTTAATATTTGGTGTCCCATATTTTATAATTTTAATGATTAAACTAGCTGTTTTCCCCTTCTCAAAGAAACTGTAGTGCTTTTTCTTTTTGAAAAAAAAATGCCCATGAAAGCCACCCAAATTTCCTTATTACTAATAAGTCTATTTTCATATAATTTTGATTCTAATGTCTTTTAATACTAAATGAACAACAAAAGCAAACTCTGTCTAGTTACCTAGGAAAAAAAAGACAAAGTAGATACTAGAACAGAGACACAAAAAAAGTATCTGCTAATACCAACCAAATTTTTAGCAGCCTCAAATAACAAGTGGGATATAATGGATTGAGCCTTATTTTGGAAATGACGAGAATTCATTCAACTATTCATAGGCCTCATTTACTTTTTATGGGCTTCATTTTCCAAATGTGGACAATGTGGTTGCTGTGTTCCATTATTTTTATATCCTTTCCAATACAAACATTCCATGGAATATTCACTTTTACGTCATCATGGTTTTGAGTGAAAGTGTATCAGTATTCAAATGCGATTTGAGCAAAATGTAGCTATTCATTGTTTGATCACCTCATTTGATGCTAAACATTGATACCAGAATTTTTCTAAATCACCTTTCAAGGTCAGCGTACTGAACTCTCATGTCAGCAACTCCTGTCATTCCCATGTAACATCAGAGGAAGATAAATTCTCTGTCCTCTGAACACCCATAGGTAAAGTAATATGTCATGTCAAGGCCCTTATGATTTTTACAGCAAGTGACAGTCACCAAAATCATACGTAGTCCAACTTGAACCTGTCAATTCAGTTGAAGACACAGCCTTCATGGCCAAATGTGCTTTATTCAGGAATATGTAAGTAGTTAAAACCAAGCTATCTTCCTGCAAGTAATCTAAAATATATGCACACGAATCTGAAGCTGCAAGTGAAAATATCAGTTAAAACTACCGCCTTCATTTAAATGAATAAACCAAGGCATAGCAATTACAAGATTTGCTCATGGCCATAGAATGAAGTTGTCTGCCTTAGAATTAGAATGTCTATCATCAATCTGTGTATGTAAAGTTATTTTCTCCACACGACACTGTGGAAAAAATAAACCCTGCTAGGGTAAAGGAAGCCAAGACAGAAAATAATAGTCAGCTGCAGACTCTTTGGATGCAAAGTACAAAATATTCAAGTGCATGTTTCCACTCCCTTCATTCTCTCTTGTAATGATTGCAGCTAATCCCTGCCAGCTCACATTAGTTCTTCAATTGTGGCAATCAATAGAATAGATTAGCCATGGAAACCCTCCATCCATATTACTCCTGCTTTCCTTTCCAGATGGAATTTTCATTCACTGGAGTATAAGCAGACATGTGAAGATTTCCTCCCATGCACAAACATAAGCCCATTAGGCTTCAAGGTTGTTTCTATAAAACTTTATACATGCATACACACACACGCACACTAAAGAGCATACCTGTAAATTTACTAAAACAGCACCAACCCTCATGGCTTCACTGACTTCGAGGTTGTACATCAGCTGTGGGAAGCGGGGAGGGCTTTGATTGTTTGGAGGAAGCACTTCGATGTACACAGTGCAGATGGAGTGCCTGCAGAGAAAGAGAAGGTGGCAAGATGGGTAAAAATCTAAACCACATTTAATGACAGATGCCATTATGTATTCTGTTATTAGGTTTACAGGAGAGGAAATTTTGAATTGTTGTAGAAAATAATAATATAATTCAGAATAAAAGGATAGAAAAATAAAAGCTACTACCAAAATATAAAGGTTTTATAAAATTATCTTAATAAGAGGAAAGGAAATGCCTCGGATACTAATTTTGCCTACTTATATTAATAGTGTGAAATAGTTTTTCAAATGAAGTTGATAAATGAGTTTGACCTTTAACTTTATGTTGCAATGCCTCTTTAACAGTAAAAAAAAAATTCTGTAAATATTGGCTAATGTGAGCTGTGCTTGGGGCTCTCCTCCTATTAAACCAGCAGGGGAAGTATTGATTAAAATAACACAGAAAACAAAATATGGACTGTGTTTTATTAGTTTGTTGCTGACATCTAATGCTTAATGTAAACTCATGTTGAGTCAGGACCGTACAGTTACCATTGGGAAAAGTAGCTGCAAAAATAATGTTTTAAAATTTTCTTTAATGAGTATAATATGATAAGCTATAAATTATATTTAATTAAAACCCTGCAATGATAAGGAATTTTTGGAATAATAAGAAGATAATTTATTATTATAAGAACAAAATATTTAAATTGACATAATCAGCTCTTTTTGCAATACTGAAATTTCTTTACAGAACAAAAGCTAAAGAAGCAAGATGCTTGAGATTTGTACAAAAGAAACACTGGCTAAAATAAATTACTGAGACCTGGCAATTTATAAAATTAGTGTTTTATCTTGAAGAACACCATTACTGCCTCAGTTGTATGCTTCAAACTTACTTTAACAAAATCATGACTTTTTATTCAAATTACATTTATTATTATTTCTATTTTGGGGGTTAGAATTTTCTTAAAGTAGCTCAAAGCTCCTTTTTATTAAATTATTTAATTAAAAGACATAGTCATCAAAAACATTTTTATGAAATCATTCTAATAAAATTTTACTTTTTGAAAAGCTTTTAAGCAAAATAAAGATCATAGGCACTAAATATTTTATTACCTCATCACCTTGTAATTTGCCTAAATCCTAATTGTTTCTAAACATGTCCTCAGTAGATTAATTACTTATAGAATATTAAGCCCTTCTGAAAAGCTGCAGTGATTTTTAAAAATCTTATACTTATGTTTATTGCAATATTGTTCCAAAATAATCACATTTTAAATTAACATCTAAAAGACATTTTAATCAGTTAAAGTAGATGTGTCAATCCTTGCTGCTGATTTTATCTCTTTATTTTTTTAATTTGCCAATAAAATTAATCAAATTATAATTTTATTTTTAAAATATTTTTAACAAGTGAGCTACTAAAATGAGAATAATATGTAACATCTAAGGTTAGCATAAGAATTAGAGTACATATTTGTGCTTGTGCATATATATGTGTTTATATATTTATGTACATGCATAAAAAACATATTTATTAGTTATTTTGATACTTTTTCAAACCAAGCTTTCAAATTCTATTTTATGGAAATGGGTAAATAAGTTTGCACTTACCTTAGTTATCATATCCCTTATAATATTTTAGACAAACTAATTGCATCCTTTTACATTTTTGGCTAAATACTTATAGGCATAATATCCACTTGCCCCTCCCAGAGCAGAATATGACTGGTCTTAGGGTTTGGACATACTGAATGAGAATCTTTTGGTGTGGGATATAAGAATCTATATTTTCCATAGATATCCAAGGCTCTACCCACACACACTCAGTTTTGAAAACCACTGGGCTAGCAGCTCTTGTCAAGTAAAAAAAATGCAGCTTCAACTGATTTTTAAGTTAGTAGCCTAAGGGATTTCTCTATGATTTGACCAAAAGCTCTCCTCATTAACCCTGTAGGTAAAAGATTCTCTCATTCATTAACATTTTTTTAAAAACCCAGAACACAAGTGTACTCCTAATTCACTTTCAAAAAGTTAGATCCAGAGACATTGAAATAAAGAACAGACTGACAGTAAGCAGAGGGGAAGAGGGAGAGGGATAATGGAGGAAAGAAAGGGAAAGGTCATCAAGGAACATGTATAAAGGACTCATGGACAAAGTCAAAGATAGGTAGGATTGAGGATGGGGGGTGGACGGGGTGGGCGAGAGGGCATGGGGGAAAAGGGAGACAACTGTACTTAAAAAATAATAAAAATAAAATAAAGTCTACCCTTTTCAACATATAAAAAAAGTTATATCCTTCTTGCTTTTGATTTTCTTTATAGCTTTACCTTACTGGTCTGGAGTACTTGAAAAAAAGTGTTTAACAAGCTCTGGCTGGTGTGGCTCAGTTGGTTGGAGTGATGTCTCCTAAACTGAAATGTCTCAGGTTTAAATCCAGGTCAGAGCAGCACCTAGGCTGTAGGTTCAGTACCAGTTGGGGAGCATACAGGAGGCAATAGATTGGTGTTTCTCTCTTACATGGATATTTCTCTCCCTGGCACTCTCCCTCCCTTCCCTTCTTTCTAAGATCAATAAACATACTCTTAAATGAGGATAAAATGTTAATAATAAAAATAAACAAACAAACAAATAAATATCTAACAGAATATGAGTGCCTTTCCACTTGTGTGAAATATCTTTAATACTAAAATTACTATACTTTGTGTATTGTCTAATTCTCTCCTTTGACTCTTCTCACATTAAAAGGTTACATCAAACTAAAAAGTTTTTGCACTCAAAGGAAAACATCAACAAAATGAAGACAACCCACTGAATTGGAGAACATACTCACTGATGAATCTGATAAGGGTTTAATATCAAAAATTTATAAAGAACTTATAAAACTCAACACCAGGAAAACAACCAATACAATTAAAAAATGGGCAAAGGACCTAAATAGACACTTCTCCAAAGAGGACATAAAGATGGCCAATAGACATATGAAAAGATGTTCAAAGTCACTAATCATCAGAGAAATGAAAATTAAAACTACAATGAGTTACCATCTCACACCTGACAGGATGGCTATCATCCATAAATCAACAAACAAGTGATGGTGAGGATGTGGAGAAAGGGGAACTCTTTTGCACTGTTGGTGGGAATACAGACTGGTGCTGCCACTGTGGAAAGCAGTATGGAGATACTTCAAAAAATTAAAACCATTGCTTTTTGACCCAGGCATCCCACTTCTGGGAATATATCTGAAGGAACCCAAAACACTAATTTGAAAGAACATAAGCACCGTTATGTTCATTGCAGTATTATTTATAATTGCCAAGATATGGAAGCAGCCCAAGTGTCCATCAGTAGATGAGTGGATAAAATAACTATGAAATAGTTACAAAATGGAACACTACTCAGCCATAGAAAAGAATAATATTTTACTTTTTGCAACTGTATAGAAGGATCTGGAGAACATCATGCTAAGTGAAATAAGCCAGTCATAGAAAGACAAATACCATATGATTTCACTCATCTGTGGAATCTAATGAACAAACTGAACTAACAAGGAAAATAGAGATAGACTCATAGATGGAGAGCAGCATGACAGCTGGAGTGGTTAGGTGGTGGAGAGACTGGGCAAAAAGGAAAAAGAACTCATGGGCATGGACAGCAGTGTGGTGATTGTGAGAGGGAGCAGGGTATAAGGGGACTAAAGACTAAGGAAAAATACAATGAAATTCAACAAAAAAATAAAGGGCTAAACTTTATTGTACAGATGGACATTGACATACTCTCACTCAGATGAGGCATGTGTTTGCCACAGAGAAGAAACTTGAAAATACAAAATTAAAAGGGCCCTGGACCCCAAAGCAGAAGACAGAATCTCTGTGGTCCAATGTGACTGTCATGTTCATCTCCTTTGTTTCCACTCCTCCTTTCCACAATAATTCAAATGCTAGAAGAAGTAATTATGTGATCCCTTGGACTGGGATCACAGAGGAAGATCATACTTCAAGGTCTTGCATTTTTCATCTTCAAAATTCTAGGACTTCCTTGCAATGTATTTAAATAAGCGCCAACCTATTTGAGGGTTATTGCTTTCTAAACTGCTACCTCCTTTTTATCCCTAATGTCAGCATAGTGTCAGAGTTGGCTTTCCTAGAACAAAATACCAATAGTATTAACAATAAAATGGTATCAATGATGCTGTAATGAACAGTATTAACTCAACAATTTCAGTTAAGTACATAATAAAACAGGACTGTCACTAGATAAATAATATTTTATGTGAATATTTTATATTTACATTTTATAGCTAGTATTAAGTGCATAAAATTGAGCATCTATGTAATACAAATTTTATTTTTATAATGTAGCCAATGTAATGTAGAAAAATATCTATTTCTGAAAATGAAAATTATAAATTTTCTCTTTTTCATTTGGTAATTAACATCAAACTAGAACAAGAGGGGTTATATATTTTCTCAGATAATCTTATGATTTTTTGAAAGATGTTAGAAACTCACTAATTTAAACCTCTCATTTTATAAAAATTAGAAAATCAGAAAAAGTGACTAAATCAAGGTAATAAAGGTGATTTGCAACAGCAGACAATCTAAAGGGCAAGGCTTCTGAATTCAAAACCAACCTGTTCTTTCTCCCCACATTCCACAAGAACACATTTGGGGAGTAAATTGGAGAATTTTTACTTATCTGAAGTGTGTTTCTGTGTGTCAGATTAAACATTCTCATTTTGTAGTGATGGATTTTATTTTGCAGGGATTCATGATGTTTCAAGTCTTAGGTTCAGGCTAATTATTTATATCATGAATGAAACTTCATCCATAGCACTTTTTTTCTAAGGCCAAATAAAATATTAATAAAGAGGCAGTTAGGAAGATAGACTTAGGATGCTTAAACTCAGCAAATGGCATAATTTAAAATGATAAGTAATTTTTTGATTTGACAATAATATTCAATAGTAATGAGATGTATTTAGTGGTTTATACAATCTACTTTGTAATTTTCTATTATACATGTCAACACATCCT